CCAGGAAACCAAGGACACAGTGCACGGGCACCACAGTGCAGCTCGAGTGGGACTTGTAGAGAACTAGTTAGCTGGAAGAGAACGCACAATACAATACTAATAGAAATATGTTGTATTACATTAGATATAAAATTAAGATAACAAAGCCAAGGATGCTCGGCAGCCATACACGGTTGGGGCTGGCCATGAGGCTGATGCTGAGGTTGAGACACTGGCTCATTGCACAGTAAGCGGGATATTTATCCTTCAGCTCCTCTTGTAATATCTCTGGACTCGAATATGTTTCAAATACTGTTATTTTGTTATTCATATTAAATTAGGGGAAATATGCTGCGTTTAGAGTTTAGGTTTAGAGTGTGTACATTATTAGGTACATACGTACGAGCACCAGAGTCTGCTGCTCTCTATAGTTGAAGGCCGTTCCGGGTTAGAAACTGAGAACTCTTGTTTTCATGCTGGATCCCCAACTTCGAACGCTACTCGCTTGTTTTAGTATAGGATCTATATCGTCAGCGTCAGGTACGTACATGCAACTACGCAACGGGTGTAACGCGGTCTGCCTACAGATAGCATAGGAGCCTTGATTTGGCCTTGGTAGGTGGCATGTATGCAAATACAAAAGCTCTACAAGTGTATGCACAGGTAAAGCATGCAATAAAGGAAGCTACGTTGAAGTTTCCTTGTGTGCGCACATGGGGCTGGCTCGTATCACTAGCCGCAGCGATCTGCGCTGCAACTCCATTTTAGGCTGCCTCACCCCCGCAACACCGTGGTCCTGCGCTCAACGCCCAGGGCGCCTGGGGACAAGGGAGAGGTCAGCTGCTCAGGGAAACTCTTACTTTAAGTATTGACATCCAATGCAGCTCGCTTCCGTCCTTGATTAGGACCAGAGAGCAAGAGCTATATCCGGAATACCCCAGGTGGTAGTCATATGCAGTATCTACAGGAGAAGAGGACACCAGGTCACGAGACGGATCGTGAATTTTGTGCAAACGATGAAGGAACGCCTACCCTAACCATCGAGCGAAGTTCACCAAAGAAGGAAGCCGCTTCACGAATAAGACAATGAGTCACTCTGCCAAACCTACAGCCTCTGATTACTGCGTCGGAACTGATGCGTGGTTTCCTGGATCGCTCAAAGTATTCTCCATTGTCACCGAAAATATGGAGTTAAGCTAGTTCTCGGAGACGGGCATACTGTGGGAGCATTCCTGCAATCGATTGAGCTAGACACTTCGTAGGAAAGACTGTTGGCTATTGGTATCATCTACGGGAATCTAGTGTAGATTTGGAGAACTGGGAGATTAGAGTGGAAATGCCCACTAGATTCTGTGGGATTTCCGGACACTGCCAACACCAGCGCGAGTTGAAGCAACTAAATCGAACATACATCTGTGTGCATATATCCCCAGAATGAAGCCGCTATTTGCGGAGCTATGCGGACTAATTTCAGCTCTGGCAGCAGAGCCAACCCTCGGTCGGGTGCTACTGCGACACTGCAGCAGATCGAGAAAGGGTTCCGAAGGGGTTCTTCCTTGGATATTGTGGCTGTGTCTTGCAGTTCAACGTTCAACAGCAAGTATATGGCATCTCACGCAGAGGAAGAAATTGAACAAAAGTTCTCGTATCTACAGTACAATTAGATTTGCCTGCTATGCAGAGTGCAACGGTGCAAAATATGCCGTTGCA